TATGTCTGCATTATCCACCGAAAGTTCTCTAACCTGAACAGCCTGTGATGATGACAAATGGACTATGCTCTTCTTATAGAGGCCAGTTAAATGTTTTGGGAGAGGATGCCTTTTCTTTATGGTTGTATTTCTGGCCTTAACACTGACTGGATCTATTTCCTGGCACACACCAAACAATGCCCCTTCCTTAAGTGCCTGTTCACATTTAGAGAAATTAGCTACTGTTATTGGTACTACTTGATGACCTGCCACAAGTGACCTTCCAATCTTCACATTTGCCGGCCTGGATGAGTCTTCTACTGCTTCTACAAGCATCGGGCTTCCTTGGGGATGTTCTTTTATTCTACACCAAATTATCTTCTCTGAAATAGGGGTGTTATGGTTGACTTAAGGGCTGTGACATGCAAATCAACAGATGCAGCAACACTTACCGGAATTTGGCCTTTGTTGTTCCCAAAAGTCATTTTATCGAACTAACTACACTTTTTATCGGTAGTATGTCGTCTAACCCTAGTATGCATTGGTCTTCAATATCAACCAAGTACACTTCGTGTCTTTCCTTCATGCCCATGAGCTCAATAGTTACCCACACTGGTCCCCACAACCTTGCATAATGTCCTGTCACATCACAGAGCTTCTTGTACTCCTTTGTGATCCAGCACCTTGATTCTCACAAGGGTTTGCTGAGATACAGAATCTATGACAAAGTTGCGCTTTTGGTCATCCAGCTCTCCTGTCACGTAGACACTGTTTGTGTTTGCCATTTTACACTTAGCTGTTGGAACTTTCACAATGGCGGTTGGTGGGCAATCCTCAGCACTGGTTTTCTTGTGGCTGACTTATTGGTAGTATTCTTCTTACACTGGCTCCTTATATGTCATTGCTCTCCACAGTTCCAACAACCTTTCTGGGTAGCAACCTTTTCTGTGTTGATGTTGCCAGCATTGAGTTCTCTTGTGCCCAGGTTTGTTACAGTGCCAGCAATGTCCCTCAAACTTCTCTAAAAGCTGACCTTTTCTGGCCTTGAATCCAGATTACTGTGCTGGACTTAACGTAGGATTCGAATTCAAGAGCTCTGGCCATTGCATCCTGCATAGTAGAGGAGTGTGCTTGCTTTACTTTTATCTTTAGGGCATCGAGAGTTGTAGACTGTCCAAGGCATTTACAAATTGATCCCTCGGCAACAGCAGTTGGTGCAGTTGGGTAGGCCTTGCGTGCCATACTTTCCAAATCCTGTGCCAGCTCTTGCAGGCTATCTCCTTTAGCACGGACTCTAGTCCTAAACCTAGTCCTGTAGACTTCGGACTGATTTTGAGTTCCATACCTGAGTTCTAGAACAGCTACCAGTGCTCTGTAGTTGTGCCTGTCGTCTGCTGACAACTGTCCAAGTATTTTCAATAGTTGTCCCTTCATGCTCGTTGCCAGGTACACTACTTTCTGCTCCTCCATCCATTCATTTCTGCCAGGAGCTCAAATTGTGCTCTATATGCTTTCTACAGTGCCTTCCCATCGAGTTCTTTTGGCTTCCTTCGTACTAGATCACCCCTTTTGCTGACACTCATGTCTGGAATGTGACTTCTGGGAGGACTGAAGATATCTGCATTAGGGTTTAGCTGCAGGGTCTGGAAGGGGCTTCCTGTTGTCTGGGGCTGATTAGACCCATGGCTAATATATCCTCTCTGTTTAAAAGACAGTATATCATCCTTTAATGTATTTAATTTACTTTGAAATTTACTAATGTTTCCATTTGTACTTCTTGCCTTTTGTACTTTTGACTTTCCTGTAGTTGCTGCTGTCTTTCCCGCAACTGTTGGAGACTTTCTTCGTGTTTTCTTTCTTGTTCCAGTTGCCACTGCTGTAATCTCTCTTCTTGTTTATTTTCTTTCACCTCCAACCACTGCTGTAGCCTCTCTTTTTGTTTCTTTTCTTTCTCCTCCAACCACTACTGCAGTCTCTTTTCTTGTTTATCTTCTCGTTCCTCTTGTTTCTTTTACTGTTCTTGTATTGCTGCCATCAAATCTGCAAAGCTGTAGTTTGATTTGCCACCTCTCGTTTCCATTTTATTTTCATCCCACTTCTGACATCAGTTTGTTGCATATTTGCTTGTTTGTTAATTTCTGGTATAAATTATTTCCGAGAAACTTCTGCGATACAAGATCCTTTCTTGATTGAAACGAGTTTATTCTTTTTCGATACAACTTTGTAATACAAAGAATTTCCACAGTCACTTTAAACTTAACAACCTTTATAACATACACTATAAATCACTGTGGTTCACACACTTTATTTACGGTGCCTACTGTTCTCTTGACTCAATTTTCTCTATCTTTAATCTATATCTTCATATCTATCTATCGCTAGCTTATATACTAAAAAAGAGGGCGTCTAGCAAACACTGGGACATTCGTGAGGTTCCCTGATAAGTCACGATCCTTCTCGAATCTCCAGTGCGCATGCTCCCAGCGTCGCGTGACTTCTGCTGTCGTAACAATACTATTGTTTGGAAACAGGATAAACTTTTACTGTTCTCCTGCTATACGTTTTTGTTTTATATTTAACTAGAAGATAAACATACTATTGTTTGGAAACAGGATAAACCTTCATTGTTCTCCTACTATACGTTTTTTTATATTTAACTAGAAGATAAACATACTATTGTTTGGAAACAGAATAAACCTTCATTGTTCTCCTACTATACGTTTTTGTTTTATATTTAACTACAAAATAAACATGTGGTTGTTTGGAAACACGATAAACCTTTAACACGTGACGATGCACGCTACTTTATCGAATCACCAGATTAAATTGCCAGAATAATCTATACCCCTTTTCGCTTATAAAAATGGGATTTATTTCCTTAAAACTAGTTTATATATGTATTAGTAAGCTTATTCAGGTTAAGCTTTTTATTTGGGCTAGAGAAAGTTATTGAAAAGAAATGTTTAAGCAAAAGTATTAAGCCTTGTTAGGAAGTGTGTTAATTTTAAAGTTATTAAGAAAAATCTTAATATGAATCATATTAAGAAAGGTCTTATCTTAAATCTTATTCCGAAAGATCTTAACATGAATCATATTAAGAAGGGTCTTATCTTAAATCTTATTCCGAAAGATCTTAACATGAATCATATTAAGAAGGGTCTTATCTTAAATCGTATTCCGAAAGATCTTAACATGAATCATATTAAGTAGGGTCTTATCTTAAATCTTATTCCGAAAGATCTTAACAAAAAAAAATACTGTTAAGAAAGGTGCTAAAATAAATCACTTTAATACAGGTCTTCACTTCAAGTGTTTTAAGGTTGGATTAAGTCAAACTGGACTACACACATTCTTTAAGTAAGATATGACACTATATACACTATATAAAGCACAGAAACAGTGTGAAATCTTCACACATAAAGGTTAAGCATAAAATAAATGAAAAATATTGCGTTAAAACAGTAATCTGTAGGAACTGTGTTGAAATACTTTCTGTCATTCAGTCGTGTAAAAAACAATTAAGTCAAGAAGGTCATAAATTTAGCACCAACTACGCAGGCCTTAGCTCTCTTCCCTCTGACTACGGTATTGTTACGACAGCGGAAGTCACGTGACCCTGGTTACACGTCATGTATTTCTCGAATGATCACGAATGATCGAGGAGGCCCGAGTGTATTCGAGACGCCCCCTTCTTTAGTATATAAGCCTGGCAGAGAAAAGCCAGAGGATGGATAAGCGAACAGTAGTTACGGTAATATATGTTTGTGTGTTTGTACTCTTCGAGGGCGAAGTTATCATGATTGTAAATCACTGTGACTTACAGCGTGTATTATAAAAGTTGTTAAGTTTAAAGTGACGAGAAATGTCCTGACTGTGGAATTACTGGGTACTAAAAGTTTGTATCGAGAAAGAATAAACTGGGTTAATCAAGAAGGGACTTGTATCGCTGAAGATCCTCCGAAATAATTTATACCTGAAATTAACAAACAAGCAGATACGTAACAGTATAAATTACTGTTAACACAAGCAGCAATCGTCTCAAGACTTTTGCCGACTGATGTTAACACTTCTCCTGATAGGCTTTAATTCTGCATTTCATGCACAGTCAGGTAACTTTCTTTAATCCTATTGGTCAAACGTTTTGAACTTTCATTGTTTCATGTGTGTAAACTTTTGAATAATTTTCTAACAATAAAATTCAATTCAACATTTCCTTTTCTTAATTGTGCCAGTTCCGCCGGAAATCATTGGGTCTGAGAGTAGTACTGATTTGCTCGTAAGGGAAGGAGTCAACGTAACCTTGAAGTGTAGAGCTGAAGGTTATCCCGCACCGGTTATAACCTGGAGACGAGAGGATGAGCAACCAATATATATTGGAAAAAGGAAAAACAAGCTTCAAGGTAAGGAAAAAATATATATTACATCAGATTATAGACCAACATCTTTAATAGGTC